AGATTTTGATACTTGTGCTCTTCCTTTTAAAATGATGCACAAGTTGGGTGTGGTGGAGGATGTTTTTAATCCCAGCCCTCAGGAGGCTGAGGCAGAGGCAGGCAGATTTCTGAGATCAAAGCCAGCCTGATCTACATAGCAAGTTCTAGGATAGTCAAGTCTACACAGGGAAACCTTGTCTGGAAAAACAAAACAGAACAAAAAAGGTACACAAGCTATATGTGAGGCAAAGCCTCCATGATCAGGTTGTCACTTGCAAAGCAAAGCACTGAATTAATCTTTGTAAATACAGCCACAGTATCCACAAATTAGGATTCCAATTTGCCACACAATTTCTGCTATATTCATATGATCTGAAATGGCAATCAAGAAACAGAATTGTGACATCGTGTGAATAATTATGTTTTCTAGATGAGGTTGATATCAAATAAATGTTTTTGCCAAACTAAAAAGTCTCATTTTCTTATACTGGACTAGTTTAATCCAATGTAAAATCAAAATATTTTAATTACTAGGTGTTCTTCAATGAATTTCCTTGCTCTGAATATTCAATTGTGTTTGAAGATTTGAAAATTTCATGATCAATTAGATAATAGGGCTGGAGAGATCATGCAGAATATAATGTGGGTTACTCATAAAGAGAACACAGACTAATGTAAAGAAAATACCATGAAGTAGAAACCTGAGTTTACTTAATATAAATTAGGTAAACACAAAGGATGAGTCAGGAATTGCATAAGGAGAGCGTCTTACCTACAAAGACCAAATTACTGTAATTCTCCAATATCACATGCATGTACAAAGCCCTCTGAACAGAGTCCAGACATTCCCACTTGTCACAAGAGAAGTCCACAGCCACATCCTGGAATGTCAACAGACTCTGTAATGGAAAATTACAGTGACCATGTGCTGCTGACAGAATGCTTTCTTAGATAGAAATGAGACTTAAGGAATTACAGATGCTCTTCTGATGATGATGATGAAGCAAGATAATTATTGAAAGACAAAAGTTTTCTAGAAGTGCTGCAGACATGGTTCATCAGTTACGAACACTGGCTGTTCTTCCAGAGGACCCAAGTTTGGTTCCCAGCACCAACATGGTGCCACACATCAGAATTTAATTCAGTTTGCCTGAGATCCAATCTCTCTTCCGAACTCTACAGGCAAGAGGCAAAACATCACTCACGCAGACATTCAGGCAAATACTTGTGCGGTGGTTTGTACGAGAATGGCCCCTATAGGAGAATAGATTTGAGTACTTGATCACCAAGGAGTAGCACTATTTAAAAGAATTATGAGGTGTGGCCTTATTGAAGGAAGTGTATCACATGGGGTGGGGCAGGGGAACCACATGATGACTTTGATGTTTCAAAAAGCTCCTTCCAAGCCCAGAGTCTCTCACACTTCCTGCTGCCTACAGGTCTGAATGGAGAAGTCTCAGCTTCTTCTCCAGCACTATGTCTGCCTGTCTGCCACCATGGTTCCTGCCATGATGGTGAAGGAAATCTCTGAAGCTGTAAGTCAGCCCCCCAATTAAATGCTTTCTTTATAAGACTTGCTGTGATCAGGGTCTCTTCACAGCAATAGAACACTAAAAACACCCTGACAAGGAAAAGAAAAAGTTACTTTTAGTAGAAGATGCTTTCTAGAACAGTTATCCCTTATGTTGTATTTCCCATCTCTTTGAAGACAAGATAGACATAACGGTCTCATAATCAGGAAAGTTGGAGGGAATACGTCACACATTTGAGGACTAGATACAAGAATGTACCATTGCGAAGAGTATGCTGACATCAAGCAGGGCAGTGTCACATTTTAGATGGAAAAGTTATAATGAGCAAAACTGTGCTTCTAAATTCTACAAATGCCAGTGTAAGGATTCAAGCATTATGCTGACCCCGCCTCCTGACATTGGGCAGGATACACAGTACTTTCTGCTCTCCTGGGGGGGCATTGACCATTTTTGGGGAACCTAAGAAAGCTGGGGTGCTGTCACGTCCTGCGAGTAGCTGGTTGTTTCGTTGCAGTTCAGGCTGTATGGAACTCTCTGGCGCCTCTTAGACCTGGCAAGATGTTGGCAGAGCAGAGTACAGTTAAGTTTAGGAAAAAAATTTTTTTCTTAGGTCCTGGTACTTGAGGGGAGGAGGATTATAAAATGAGGGAGGGGCTTCCCTAGGGGGTCCCAAGATGAGGGAAGGGAGTCCCAGGACCAGGGAAAAGTTGATATTTATTTGGAGTGAGTTTGACCTGTTTGGGTGGGTCCAATTCGGCTCCCTGAAACTTAGAAGAGTCAGTCTTGCTCAAATATGGACTCTAACCCAATGATGCCCACAGCTGGTTCTCACCTGACTCTACCCTAAAATGCTCACTTTGGAGGTCAAGGCCCAGGCTATTGCTGCCTCCCTGACAGAACAAAGAGGTACATTGTAGAAGGCAGAATTGAAGGATGAATTAAATATTAGAGATTTGTTCTTTTAAAACCTTAAGGAGCTTAATTAACATCGGTGCTATGTACAGCGTTCCAAGCAGCATTGTGGGGCTGTTGTTAGGTCTCAAACCTGGGACAAAAGACTAACTGGGGTGTCTCATTAACATACCAAAGCCGACACTGACTGCCAGGATCTGCCAGCCTCCAGCAATCCCTACTGAAAAGTTTCTGCATCCCGATAAGCCTCTCCGCCAGTGCAGCAACCAAATCAGACCAAATCAAATCGAATTAAAAAAAAACACACACACGTTTAACGGATACAGTGTTCCCGGTTGCCTTCCAGCCCCTCAGAGACGAGACGGGAAAAGGAAGATCAGAAAAACCCTGATTTTGTTCTCTGTGGAACAGTTTTAGATACTCTGTGGAAGTGGTCTTCAGCGCCTCTGGGGTAGGGTAGGGGTCATCATTTGGCAGGCTTTCTGAGATGCAGCAGGGTTTAGAGGGAGATGGGGGAGGGGACTTGGGTGGAGCCTCCACCATAACACCCACCTGTTACAGGGTGTGGCTGGCATACCCTGTCCCCTACCATTAATGTCTCTGCGCCCTTTCCTATGTAACCCGGCCGTCTTGGTTACGCTGGTCCTTTTTTATCCTTCTTACCCCTTGCCTCCCTCCTGCCCCCCTTGCCTCTAGGTCACATGACTCGCCCTACCGCCACCCCTGCTCTCATCGCCTGACTCGGAGTAATGTCCACTCTGGACTCTCCCAGATTTCTCTGCCTCTGACTATGCTCTCCCTTTTATTCACAATGAACCTCCTCCACCTAGAAGCCGTTCATGCCCGCCTTTCTTATTTCTTTTTTAAAATCCACCTTCCTTTCTGTTTTCATTCAGTCATTTCATGAGAATGTTTCGACAACCGTGAAGAAGAAAAGTCAGCATCAGACAGCATTAACATGACATTATTTTTTCTAAAATTGATAGAGAACAATTTCGGAAATCCCATATGCTGGGTTTTACAGAATAGTTAGTAAGAAAAAAAAAATTTGTCCAAAAAAATGGCCTATATGGCAACGCAATCAGACGAAGCAGAAAGGTTTTCTGTGACTGAAGTGAATGTATTAAGTCAGATGAGAATTATACCAACTCGTCGTTAATTTGGAATATGCTATTTTATTGCTCATGAGGTTGGCTCATTTAAAAATTTGAAACTTGCCGGGCGTTGGTGGCTCACGCCTTTAATCCCAGCACTCGGGAGGCAGAGGCAGGCGGATCTCTGTGAGTTCGAGGCCAGGCTGGACCGACAGCCTCCAAAACAATACAGAGAAACCCTGTCTCGGAAAACCAAAAAATAAAAAATAAAAATTTGAAACTTGTAACTTCATTATTTGAGCTCAATAATCTAGCATGGCTTTCGGTTACACAGAATAGTATCCTTTATGGGTTCTTCCTTTATTCTTCACAAAACAGAACACGCCAGATCACACACTGGCTCCATCACGAAAGTGTCCCAGAAATGTAACCCTGGAGATTACCTCTCTTCAGAGTTTCTACGTGTGAAATACAGTATCACCAGGGAAAGGAAAACAATGAGGGAGCCATGCTTCTCCTAAAGAAGGGAAGAGAGAAAGGTCATCAAGAGGGACCTTGGTTTCTGCTTGTTTGCTTTTCGAGACAGGGTTTCTCTGTAGCTTTGGAGGCTGTCCTGGAACTAGCTCTTGTAGACCAGGCTGACCTCGAACTCACAGAGATCCTCCTGCCTCTGCCTCCCGAAAGCTGGGATAAAAGGCGTGCGCCACCACCACCCGCCTCTTCTTGTTGGTATTTCTATAATCAAAATTGAATAGCAAACAGTACAAAGCTGGATATGATGGTATATGCTTTTCATCTCTGAACCTGGATCCTTTGGAAATGCAATCAGTACTCTTAACTGCTGAGCCATCTCTCCAGCTCCAAGATGTCTTCTTGATTTCTGTTTATTCATTTTATTTTTGTTTACTTTTTATTTATTTATCTTATTTATTTGTTTATTTTTGGTTTTTCAAGACAGGGTTTCTCTGTATTGTTATGGAGCCTGTCCTGGAACTCCATTGGTAGACCAAGCTGGCCTTGAACTCACAGAGATTCACCTGCCTCTGCCTCCCCAGTGCTGGGACTAAAGGCATGTGCCACCAACGCTCAGCTTTGATTTACTTTTTAAAGATTGATTTATTTACTATGTATACAGTGTTCTTCCTCCATGCCAGAAAAGGGTACAGATCTCATCGTAAGATGGTTGTGAGCTACCATGTGGTTGCTGGGAATTGAACTCAGGTCCTCTGGAAGAGCCGCTAATGCTCTCAACCTCTGAGCCACCTCTCCAGCCCCAGAATTATTCATAAGATGATTTCTAATTTTATCCTAATGTATAGGGTGTTTTTAAACTGTAAAAACAGTGTGGTATGACAACTTCTCACAGCATGCATGCATACATACTGTGTTTTCCTGTTTCTAAGATGTAACATTAAGAAGTCATTGGTGGTGTTGTGCCCAAATCATAAGGATCCCCAAAGATCAGGGAGACAAACCACCGATGCGAATGCACAAGGTTTATTGATTATTCTATCCTTCCACTCGGAAGGGACCTGTCTAGCAGGTTGACACAGCAGCCTCCAGAGGGGGTAAAGTTCCCTGACTACTGCTAGGTTTTAAAGACAAAAGTTACAGGAATGCATCAGTAGGTATGGGTTGGTTTCTGATGGGCTGACATTTGGGGAACAATCAAGAGATTTTTCAAAGTCATGTTTTTGGCTTGTATACCTGTGTACCCATTTTTCTCATAGGTTGGCACTGGGAGGGAACATTCTGTGGTTTCTATGGCTTGCAAGTTGTCTATTGTACTAATATTTTTCAGAATTGAATCTCCTGGAGACTACAGGGGAGTTTCTTTTGTGGTCAAACAGTCCCCAGGATCCAAGTACCTAGAAGGCTAGGGGGGTTTGGAGTTCCTTTGTGTCTAGTTTTGACCTTAGGCCTGTTGCATACAAGGTAGCCTCTAGGAGCGAAGGCTGGGGGAAGGGTTGATCTGGAGTTTTGGCTCTTCAGGTGGCACAGGCCTTTTTAATTCCGGGTCTCAGGAGGCAGAAGCAGATGGATGTCTGTGAGTTCAAGGCTAGAATCTTCCTCAAAATGAGTTCCAAGACAGCTAGACCTGTAACACAGAGAAACCTTGTCTCAAAACAAAAAAACAAAACAAAACAAAACCCCCACCACCATCAATGAAAAAGAACACAGAATAAAAAGACACATTTCTGAGTGCTGAGTTTACTTCATACATTTGAGCTGGAAAATTAATGCAGAGTAAAATGTTTTTTTTAATTTTTTGGGGGGGGACAAGGTTTCTCTGTGTAGCTTTGGAGCCTGTCCTGGAACTCACTTTATAGACCAGGCTTGACCTTGAACTCACAGAGATCTGCCTGCCTCTGCCTCTTGAGTGATGGGGTTAAAGGCATGTGCCACCACCGCCCGGCTGCGAAGTAGAATGTTAACCTTACATAATAAACGTTGGTAAATACTTTGCTTAGTAAATGTTACTGTCTACAACATAATTTCAAAGATTGCTTACATATACTTTCTTTTTTTGTTTTTCGAGACAGGGTTTCTATGTATTGTTTTGGAGGCTGTCCTGGAACTCGCTCTGTTGACCAGGCTGGCCTCGAACTCACAGAGATCCGCCTGCCTCTGCCTCCCGAGTGCTGGGACTAAAGGTGTGGGCCACCAATGCCCGGCTTTACATATACTTTCTGAATCAGTCAAATCTGTAGGGGCTCCTTAAGTGACTAATATCTAAAAATCCCTCTGGGTATGCCTAGTCCCTAGGGCAAAGGCCACTTTCTTGAATATGAAGTGGTAAAATAGGGGACTTTAAAAAGCATGGAAGAATTTAAATTCCAGAAGCTTTGCAGTTGCCACAATGGCCAGGAGAACCCCATTTGCAGCTAGCAGATAATGCAAGTCCTCTGCCAGCTCATTCTTTTGCAATCCAGACGAGCACCAGTTCACAAAGCCTAAATTTAAGGACAGGGTCCGGACACTCACAGCAGAACTTCAGAGCCAGGGGCTGCTGTCCAGTTCTGAGATGTCATCTGACCCAGACCTGTGCCGACCTGTTAAGAGCTGCCACCGGCTCTGTGACTTCATGTGTCTCTGTAGGTCCCTCTGGCTCCTGCAATCTTTTTGCTTCCTCTGCTTCCTGCGCCTTGAGGAGTTGGTTTTGGTGGGGACATCTCATTTAGGGCTGAAGGTTCCAAGGTCTCTCACTCTCTCTGTACATTAGCTGTGATGCACATACAACTTGTAGGGAAAATACTGACAGGGTTAGATAAATAAACAATCACTTCTTACATACTTATATCATTTCTTTTCTTCTTTAATGTTTGACTGATTTCTTGAGGGTTTTTTTTTTTTTTTGACAGTTAGGACCTTGAGTTGAGCCCCATCATTATTATAATTTCTGATTGCTACGAATTTCTGTTGCTGTCCTGGAACTTGCTCTGTAGACCAGGCTGACCTCAACCTAATAGAAATCCGTCTGCCTGTCTGCCTCTGCCTTCCCAGTGCTATTGAGGGCCTTTAATGACAACTCTACGGCCACTGTGTGGTATAATCTTTTTTTTTTTTTTTTTCCGAGACAGGGTTTCTCTGTGGCTTAGGAGGCTGTCCTGGAAACTAGCCCTTGTAGACCAGGCTGGTCTCGAACTCACAGAGAGATCCGTCTGCCTCTGCCTCCCGAGTGCTGGGACTAAGGGCGAGCACCACCACCGCCCGACAGCATGGTATGATCTTATGAATACCCTATTTTAAAGTTTTTCATGACACATTTTCATGCAGGGGTCATTCATGACGAAGAGGTAAGGCTGTGGCCACCTTCCTCTGCAGCAGATCTCAGGAACCCCTTGACAAAGGGCAGTTCACATAAGCAGGAACCCGTCTCAGGGAGGGGCTCTACTACTGTCCTGGGGACCGAATATGCCTCCCGGACTCTACATATCTGAATGAACAGAGACAGCCAACCTACCTGCAGAGAAGATATTTTGCCCAGGCAGCAGATTTCCCAAAAGCCACTGAAGAGGGGAGGGACTTGTAGCATCAGAACCAGGAATGTCACTAACTTTCAGGGGCGTGGGAGCGTGGTCAACGGACATTGGCTGTTTTCAGGAGGACCGGAAACTGATTAGGGCAGAGGAAGTGGGTGCTGGTTGGGAGGTCAGACGGCATCATGGGTGGGGTCAGAGGTGACACTAATACCCAGAGGGCGGGACCGGAAATTCCGTCATTTCTTGCTTCATCTGAGAGAGCCACGTGCTTCTGGACCGTTGGCAGAGGACTGGGACTGGGGTCTCACGGTAAATTTACGTGGGTGCCCGGTGGGGCGGCCTGGGAGGCCTGGGAAAGTCAGCGTCAGCAGCAGCGCAGTGGCGGGAACCGCAGCCCGGCGGCCCTGGAACCTCCCAGGTCAGAGGAGCCGCGGGGCTGGGACCCGGGAGGGAGGGGACGGGGTGCGAGCGGTTTCTCTGCTCTTCAACCGAAAGCCAGCTCCCAAATTCTGATGTGGGTGTCTTCCCTTGTCGGTACATTTTAGACCATATGAACTGGACTAATAACGATTTTTTTTCATTCATCTTCTCTTTGTCAGGGTGTTTTTGTTTGTTTGTTTTGCCGAAGAATAATCTGATAGAGGACTTGGGTTATCTGTTGTTTGCAAGCAAGATTCCCTTGTCCATTGCTGCGCTTGCAAAGCTTCTGGACTTTAAATTCATTCATGTTTTCTAATTCCCCTGTTTTACCACTTCATAGTCAAGAAAATGACTTTTGCCCTAGGGACTAGGCATCCCCAGGGAGGTTTTTAGATATTAGTCACTTAAGTTACCACTGAATGAATCAGAAAGTATATGTTAGCAAGCTTTTCACTTAAGTTGTGAACATTAACACTTACTAACAAAAATATTTATCAACATGTACTAAGTAAGGTTAACATTTTACTGTGCACTAATTTTCCAGCTGAGAAGTATTCAATCTAGAATGTAAATTCCGCATTCTGAAATGTGTCTTCATATGCTTTGTTCAAAATGTTTTTGAGCAGGAAGAAACAGGAACTCGCCCTCTTGTCTGGTGAGAGCCTAAGAAGATGAGGTGTGGCTATGGCTTGCTCCATATCTCTCAGCATTTTCCTGTGTCTGACTCCACGTCTTTATCATTAAGATCAATTAAAAACTCCTGCTGAGCAGTGGTGGTACACGCCTTTAATCCCAGAACCTAGGAGGCAGAAGCTGGCAAATCTCTGTGTGTTTGAGGCCAGCCTGGTCTAAAAAGTGAATTCCAGTGTTGTACCCAAATTCTGAACCCCCAAATCACCAAGAGATCCATTTCGATGCAAAAGCAAAAAGTCTTTTATTGTAGCTTAACATGCTAATCCCATTAGCTTGGACCTTTCATCCATCCACCACATGGGACTGCTGGAGAAAAGACCCCGAGGAACCACGAGGCAGGGAATATATCCGACAGCATACGGGGAGTGTCTAGGGGTACGCAACAGTCTCGGGATTGGCACACTTCCAGGCTTGGATGACCTGCCCTGTGTTGATTGGTCAACTGGTTGTTATGGCCCATAGGCCCTCCCAGGGCAGTTGCGATGCTCTGCATGGCACTGTTGTCCACTTGTACATAAAGCACAGCCCTGCCAGCTAACTTGTGATTGGTATCTGACCTAGTGACCAGGGCAGGAGGGGGCGAGGTCAGGAGAGCACATGTTAGCATGTCATGGCTGCTGTAATGGGGTGAGGGGGTGGAGGGTAGCACAGGGGCCTGGTCCCTTCACCAGAATGGCCCCGGGCTGTTACACAGAAACCCTGTCTTGAATAAACAAAAAAACAAAAAAAAAAGACTCCATTTACAAATAGGAACTATTTTGCCATTTCCTCAGATTCGTTTGATACAGGGCCTCCTTATGTATTCTCTCGGGCCTGGCCTTGATCTCACTGTGTAGACCTGGCTGGCATGGAATCTAAGCAGTTCACTTGTCTCTGACTCTGGACGGGTTGCATTAAAGGCATTCTCACTATGCCTGGATCCTCTATGGAGGCTGTCCTGGAACTCGATCTGTAGACCAGGCTGGCCTCAAACTCACAAACATGCCTCTGCCTCCCAAGTGCTGGGACTAAGGGCGTGGGCCACCAACACCCGGCTTTCAATGGGTTTTCTTAAAATTATTCTAGCCAGGGTGAGAAGCACTAAGAGTTGGTTTTGAATTTGCAGTTTCATAACTAAGGATGATAAGAACATGTGTATTTTGGGGGTGCTTGTAAAGATGCCTCTGCTCTTTTTTAACTTCTACTTGTTTTCACTGAGGTATACATTTCCCCCACTCTCCTTCCCTCTTCTCTCCCCTTCCACCCTCCTCCCAGACCCCCACGTTCCCAATTCACTAGGGAGATCTTCTCTTTTTCCCTTCCTCGACATATCCATCTAGGGTTGTGGTCTGCAGGCTGGGATTTACTATGTTACTCCTACCTATACAAGAGCATGGGAGATCTTTACATTTTTTTCCCATGACAGGGTTTCTCTGTGGCTTTGGATGCTGTCCTGGAACTAGCTCTTGTAGACCAGGCTGGTCTCGAACTCACAGTGATCTGCCTGCCTCTGCCTCCTGACTGCTGGGACTAAAGGCGTGTGTCACCACCACCCAGCTGATCAGTTTTTGATCGCTTTTTGAAGTCATCTTCAAGTTCTTTCTTCAAAGACTAAAGTTCTTGTCATACAGGTCTTTCTCTTGTTTGGTTAGAGTTACCCCAAGATACATTATTTGTACCTATGGTAAAGGGTGATGTTTCTCGGATTTCTTTCTCAGCCCAGTTATCTGTATATAGGAGGGCTACTGATTTTTTTTTTTTGAGCTAATCTTGTATCCTGCCAAATTACTGAAGGTGTTAGTTGTAGGAGTTCCCTGATAGAATTTTTGCAGTCACTTATGTATACTATCATAAGTTTTACTTCTTTTCCAATTTGTATCGTCTTGATCTCCTTTTGTTGTCTTATTGCTCTATCTAGAACTTCAAGTACTATATTAAGTAGATAGATGGATAGTCTTGTCTTGTTCCTGATTTCAGCAACATCAATTTGAGTTTCTCTCCATTTAGTTTGATGTTGACTGCTGACATGCTGTATATTGCCTTTATTATGTTTAGGTATGTTCCTTGTATTCCTACTCTACGACCTTTATCATGAAAGGGTGTTTAATTCTGTTGAAGGCTTTTTCAGCATCTAAGGAGTAATCAAGTCATTCTTTTCTTTTAGTTTGTTCATATGGTGAATTATATTGATGGATTTTCATATGTTGAACCATCCCTGCATTTCTGGGATGAAGCCTACTTGATCATGGTGGATGATTTTTTTCTGATGTGTTCTTGGATCCAGGTTGCCAGTATTTCACTGAGTATTTTTGCATCAATGTTCTTGAGAGAGATTTGTCTATAATTCCCTTTTTTAGTTTTGTCTTTATTTGGTTTGAATGTCAAGGTAAATGTAGCCTCTTAAAAGAGTTTGGCAATGCCCCTTTTGTTTATGTTTTGTGGAACAATTTGAGAATTGGTATTAGTTTTTCTTTGAAATTCTGATAGAATTCTCTCCTTAAACCCTCTGGTTCTGTCTTTTTTTTATTGTTATTGTTTTTGGTAGACTTGATGACTGTTTCTATTTCCTTGGCAATTATAGGTCTATTTAATTTGCTTATTTGGTCTTGATTTAATTTTGGTATGTCATACTTATCCAGAAAAATTTCCATTTCCTTTTAGCTTTCCAATTTTGTGGAGTACAGGTTTTTGAAGTATGACCTGATGATTCTCTGGATTTCCTAAGTATCTGTTACTATATCCCCATTTTCATTTCTGATTTCTTTAATTTGGATAGTCTCTCTCTGCCTTTTGGTTAATTTGGATAAAGGTTTGTCTATTTTGTTGATTTTTTTTTTTTTGAAGAACCAACTCTTGGTCTCATTCATTCTTTGTATTGTTTTCCATTTTGTTGATTTCAGCTCACAACTACCTGTGACTCTAAGACCTGACACCCTCACACAGACATATATGCAGGCAAAACACTGATGGATATAAAATAAAAATAAAACAATAACATAGCCTTTAATAATGTCATTTTCTGTTAGAGAATGTGGAACTTTGATCCCAAGCACTTTCTTTTGTTTTTTCCTGATTGCCTTAGAATTTTCCTCATTGAAGTCATCTGCCTTAGTTTTTAGACTTATTCCTAGATCTTTATGAAGCAAACCTGTATGGTTGATTCTGTCATTTATTTCTCAAATTGTCATTATTGATAAGTAGGAAAAGCAGTGATTTGTGTGTATATGTTTTGTATGTTTCAGTTATACTTAAAGTATTTATCAAGTCTATGGCATTCCCATGGTATCTGTGTGGCCCTGCATGTGTGACTTCATGATCATTTAAATGGACTTTGAAATCTTCCTTTCCTACCTGATTAATCTTTTAACTGTTGTCTTATTCAGATTTCTCCAGTCCACTCTTGTGTCTCTTGATTCATTAAAACTGGAGAGCACAAGCATCTTCCCCTCCTCACAGCTTTCCTGCTAACGCTGCTCATTTTTCCTCTGCACTGAACTGTAGGTCAATGTGTGACACACATGATCTTTTCTCCCTAATATTCTTATAGGTTAAATTACTACTTCCTTCCCGCTAGAATTAGTGTTTGATCCAAAAAAAACTTGAGGAAAGAGATCTTTTGCTCATCTAGATCTAACACAGAAATGTCTTATTTCCTGTGTTCTCATGAATAATTTCTCTCCTCCCCCCACAAGATAATGTTTCTCTGTCGCTTTGGAGGCTGTCCTGGAACTAGCTCTTGTAGACCAGAGTAGCCTCAAACTCACAGAGATCCTCCTGCCTCTGCCTCCCGAGTGCTGGGATTAAAGGCATGCGCCACCACTGCCCGGCTCTATAATTTTTTTATGTATACTTTGCCCCTGGTTATAATCTGCACTACTGCATAAGTGTCATTACCTGTGTTGTTACCTAACTTTCTTCAGGTGAACTTCCTTGTCTGAGAAAACTTGAGAGCCAATATTTCTTCTGAGTGCAAAGCTATAGTCTGCAGTTATTTCCTTTTACCACTTTAAATATCCACCCCCCAGCTTGTAGGGATGGTGACAAAACTTCTGGCATCTTTCTGGTGTTTCAGTCTTTTTATGGGTTTGTGTCACTGTCCATAACAGTTGCATTAATTTTAGGTTCATGTTTTTTACACTTTGATGTGAAATGTCGAGCAGAGTTCACATGTTTGTTCCTGAGACAGAAACTCCGAGAAGAGCAACAGCAGAAATGGAGGATTCTTCTGTAAATGCACCCCAGGTCAGTGTCATGTCCACATTTGTTTTTATTATTCAATCATGTGAGCCTTTATTTCTCTGCCTCTGGTAATGCTATCTAACGTGTTTATTTCTTATGATACCTTTTTCTTCTCTGGTAATCAAAAACTTCTAGGAAACTTATCTTTTAATAAGTATCATAATTCATCTTCATCACAAGACTGTGTAATGCCTTAGGTCTCTTTTGTCTAAGAAAGCATTCTGTCAGCAGCACATGGTGACTGTAATTTTCCATTACAGGGTCTGCTGACATTCAGGGATGTGACTGTGGACTTCTCCCAGGAGGAATGGGAATGTCTAGACTTTGCTCAGAGGGCTTTGTACATAGATGTGATGTTGGAGAATTACAGCAACCTGGTCTTTGTGGGTGAGAATGCTCTCCTTATACAATTCCTGACTCATCCTTTATATTTACCTACTTTGTATATAGGCAGATTCAGATTTCTAAGTACTTCATGGGTATTTCCTTTGCATTGGTCTGTGTTCTCTTTAAAGATTAAACCAGGGCCATGCAGTGGTGGCGCACACCTTTAATCCCAGCACTCAGGAGGCAGAGGCAGGAGGATCTCTGTGAGTCTGAGACCAGCCTGGTCTACAAGAGCTAGTTCCAGGACAGCTTCCAAAGCCACAGAGAAACCCTATCTTGAAAAAAAAAAAAAGCAACAAGAAAAAGCAACTCGGGCTATATTCTGCATGACCTCTCCAGCCCTATTATCTACTTTATAATGGAAACATCAAAGTTCAAAAACAATTGGATATTCAGAACAAGAAAATGCATTGTATGACACTTAGTAATTAAAATATTTTGATTTTGCTGGGCAGTGGTAGCTCAAGCCTTTAATCCCAGTACTGTTTTACAACAGGCTTCAAAGCTACACAGAGAAACCCTGTCTCAAAAAAACAAAAGAAAAAAAAAAACAAAAAACAAAAGTTTTTGATTTCACATTGATTACACTAGTCAAGTATTTTGATAAGAAAAAGAGACTTTAAAACAGGGTATGGTTGATAATGAACAAGCTTTTGTCTTAAATGGAAATCTATATTTAGGCTTGGCAGTGCATGGCTTTAATTTCAGTACCAAGGAGGTTAAAGCGATATGAGGTGGTTCCTTCCAAGTTGCATAGTGACTTCGTAGTCAACCAAGTCTCCACAGTATGACTGTCACATTTGTTGTTTTATTTTTGAGACTGAGCTTCTCTGTGTAGCCCTGGCTGTCCTGGAACTTGCTCTGTAGACCAGGCTGGCCTCAAACTCCAAGAAATCTACCTGCCTGTAAAACATTATACATGTGATCTTTCAGGGAACTCCTTTCCAAAAGGGAATTGTTTTCTTCATCACTAAGTAGTCATGCCTACTGTAAAACATGCAGATTCTATAGAAGGGGTTGGCTGTTAGCAGTCCTCACTTATGATGGCTATCGGGTTGGAGGTTCTTCTGAGTATCCATACAAAGATAATGAACCCTCAAAGCCTCTGCAAGGATTCTTGTCTTAAAGAACTTATGATGATGACATGTTATTGAGTTTATTACTCATGAATCAATCCTTATTATGCCTAATTGTGCTAATTTTCCAGAGAACCATCGAGACTCAAAGCATATTGTCCATCATCATGTGACTACCCAAGAGAAGTCTTATAACTGTAATGAGCTCGGCAAAAGTCTTCATGATTCCTCCCAGTGTACACCTCATGACACAAGTGATTCTGCAGAAAACTACAAAAACTGCTCATGTGGTAGCCACATGGATGCCTCTACTGAATCATCACACTCAGATAGTCATAAGAGCATGCCCACTAGACAAAATCCTTGCGAACATAAAGACCATGGCGATTCTTTACATTTGTATCCCACCATTAGTCAACCTGAAATAATCCATACTGGAAAGAATGAGCACAAAAACTCAGAGGGTGATACATCTCTTGATTCTAAACTTAAACCTGTGCTACATCAGATCTGTAGTGAAGGGAAGCCATACCAATGCGGGAAGTGTAGGAAATGCTTCTGGACCCATGCAGGCCTCAGTAGACATGAGACAAGTCACACTGGAGAGAGATCCTACAAGTGTAGCGAATGTGGTTTGTGCTTTTCTAATTCAAGTGCTTTCAAAAGGCATCATTACAGAAGCCACTCTGCAGAGAAACCTTACCAATGTAACAAGTGTGGGAAAACCTTCTTTTGCTATTCATACCTTAGAAAGCATCAGAAAATTCTTGGGATGAGGCCTTACGAATGTAAGCAATGTTGTAGTTCCTTCTGTACTTTGTCACGCCTTGAAAACCATTACAGAACCCATAGAGGAGAGAAAACTTACAAATGTAGTGAATGTGGCAAATCCCTTTGCAACTCCAAAAGCCTGAAAAGACATCAGAGTGTTCATACTGAAGAGAAAGCTTATGAGGATAAAGAATGTGGAAAGGGCTTTTATGGGTTGTGTCAGGTTAAAAACCATTACAGAACCCCTCACACATGTGATGACCGTGGCAAATGCTGTAGCCTACTGAAACGTCTAAGAACCCACCAGAAAGTTCATGAAGCCGGGGGACCTTACAAATGTAGCGAGTGTGACAAATCCTTTGTCAAGAAATGTAATCTTAGAATCCATCAGAGAATTCACATGGGAGAGGAATCTTACAAATGTGGTGAATGTGAAAAAACTTTTGTCTATAAAAGCAACCTTGCAAAACATCAGAACATTCATATGGGAGAGAGACCTCACAAATGTGGTGAATTTGACAAATCCTTCACCCAAAAAGTCCATTTTAGAACTCATCAGAGAATACATACAGGAGACAAACTTTACAAATGTAGTCAATGTGAGAAATCGTTTAGCAAGAAAGTTCATCTTAGAACTCATGAGAAAGTTCACACAGACGAGAAGCCTTACAAATGTAGTGACTGTGAAAAAGTCTTTAAATATGTCTCTTGTCTTAGAAGACATCAAAGAATACATACGGGAGAGAGGCCTTTCAAGTGTAATGATTGTGGGAAATGCTTTAGTCAAAAGATATACCTAAGCACCCATCAGAGAATTCACACAGGAGAGAAACCTTACAAATGTAATGAGTGTGGCAAATCCTTTGTTCAGAAAGGCAACTTTATAAGACACCTGAAAATCCATACAAGAGAGAAGTCTTACAACTGTAGTGAATGTGGCAAAGTCTTTACCCATATCTCTCGTCTCACAAAACACAGTAGAATCCATTTTAGGGTAACAGATTTCCAGAGTAAATGATGTCACACATGCTTTATGCAGAGTTTTCTAATGAAAAACCCAGCAGCTTTCTCCGAAGAGTATTACGAGCATGAGATACCTGTGATAGCCTTTGTGGAATGTCTGAATCCTAGAAAACATCAGGAGATTATTCTGAGGAAAACTCTGAATATTTGAAACTGGAGGAAAACTTGTCATGAAGTTATCAACTTCAAAAACTTCCGTGATGAAGACAAAATTGAGAAGCCTGAGGATATTCCGTCCTGAAGGGAGCCAATTCAGAGAGGAAATAAGTACCTCTAAATTTCTTCAGGAAATCCCTGAATTTGAACAGATTCAGTAGGTGTAACTCCTTTGAAGAAACTCGATCACTCATGGTGCCTCGAAGTGACTAACCAACTGAGCCACAAAAAAAAAAAAAAAAAAAAAAAAAAAATTCACTGCGACTGTCCCCATCTGACCTGCAGGGATGCAAGCAGGCAAAACACTATACATAAGAAATAAATAAATAAATCTTTAAAAAAAATGCAGTCTAACTTGTGACATGCCTGCAGGCTTGCAGTATGCTTCAACTTTCTAACTAGATGAGATGGATTCCATTAAAGGCAAATTGTTGTGATGTCAGCTTTTTGAGTAGCAGCCCCCTCCCCAAATTCCTGTATGTGACCCCAGTATTGCTCATTGGTCACCAAGTTGGACCTCGGTGCTATCCATACTCTCTCTGTTTTTCAAGACAGGGTTTCTTTGTGTAGCCTGTCCTGGAACTGTCCTGCTGTTAGCTTTCCAAAATTAGGCTCATGAAAGTGTACATGTAAACACCTGGTACTCCATGCTAGAATCTGAGAAATATATTTGAGCCAACTAGTAAAGATTTAACTCTGGTGAGCAGTGAAGATGGCAGACATATGGGACTTGGCTTGCCTTAAAATTGGTGCTCTTGTCACAGCAATTGACAACTGTTACCTGTTTTGTCTTCGGAAAATTGCTGCTCATATCACTCTTGGTTAGGAGAGGCAGTGTGGACTTTCCAAACTTCAAAGATCATCATTTTTGCATTATCTTTAAAATTGTTTGGTCAGGGTTCCACTGTGTAACCTGGTTCTCTGCCCCTTATGTAGCAGTGTATCTAATAGATCACAAGAATTTTCTTGATCATGTTGACTCTCCATCACATTTTATCCAGAATTCCTTTGGTTGTCTTTTCATAACAATACTCTGCGGTTTGCATTGGAATAATGCAATTTTGTTTGTTTGTTCCCAGTGCACCTCTGGCCATCCTGGAACTCACTCTGTAGACCAGTCTGGTCTAGGCCTCACAGAGGTCTGCCTGCCTCTGCCTCCTAAGCTGGGCTTGGTAGGACACACCAGTAATCACAGTATATGGGTGGCATAGTAAGGCAGATCTCTATAAGTTCAAGGCCAACGTTTGAAGTGTTAATCTAATTAATCTTAGCAATAAAAAAATCAGGAATCAAATCTTGGGGTAAAAACCTGGAAGGTCAGAGGACAAGGAGCAGCCACCATTGGCTTCCTACCTCTCATTCCTCCATCAAAGAAAAAAAGAAAAAAGGGCCAACATCATCTCTCCACCAAAACATCATTTCCTATCTGTCTGTACAGTCCTTCAGACCTCTATGGTTAACCCCCTGACTGACTCCAAGCAAGCTTTATTTGTAAGAACACATACAAAATATCACACAACAAGCTGGTCTACAAATCAAGTTCCATGGCAGGCAGATCAATTATATGATCCTGCCAATAAATAAAAAAGCAAATAAATAAATGAATAATAAAAAATTTAAGCAATGTAAAGCATTGATTATTGTCATGAAGGAGACAGACAGCAAAAGGTAAGTAGAAAAAACCCTGCATTTTTGCATGAAATGTGATGAACTATATACTTTCACCAGTCAACATGCTCAAGACAATCCTTAGTGATCTGCCAGACATGAGACAATAAAATATGAGAGCTGGGCTACAGAGTGCAATCCTGACTCAAAATTAAAAAAGACAAGGCAAGAACTGGTTGCCACTGAGTATCCTAGCCTAGTGTGATATGAACACTAATTCTGAGAAGTAGACAAATGCCATGAGAGCAACGGTTTTAGGGCAAGATCAAGCCACACATGCTTGTCATCTGCATGCTAGGGAGCTTTGCTATTCTAAGTCTATTCTAATTCTACTGTTCCATACATTTCCCAGGGATTGGAGCAAGGAGCTTTAGGTATTTAAATATCCACTTTGCTGAGACTACCTTTGGAAACCAAATAGGCTATTCTAATGTAGCCCACAGAGCACATGAGACCCCAGTCACTAATATACAAGGACATGTTCTATCCTCTGCAGGTACTAGACATCAGTATATTTCTGCGAGCACCAATCACATTTCAAAGTTTAAGAATTTGAGAATGGAGAGGATTTTGAGCTCCGTTGGAGATGTGAGTTAAGACAGTTACATTCAATCATCAAAAGAAAAAGAAGATACTGAAATCAAACAGTTTAGAAAACAGTACAATTCTGAGTGGTAGCGGTGCATGCCTTTAATCCCAGCACTGGAGAGGCAGAGGCGGGTCGATCTCTTGAGTTTGAGCCCAGCCTGCTCTGTTGTAGAATATCATCTTAAGGGGTGTTACATTTGTTTATGCTCTGGAACATTTGTTTAACCACATAAAGGTGTGTTGCTTTTGTTTATGCTGTATTCAACTCTGTGAAGCTGTGATTATTTGCCTCTCTAAAACACCTGATGGTCTAAGAAAACGATAAATGGCCAATAGAGAGGCAGGAGAAAGTAGAGACTGGGCTGGCAGGCAGAGAGAATAAACAGGAGGAGAAATCTGGGAGGAGAGAAGAGAAAGGAGCAAGATAGAACAATGAGGGGCCAGGCATCCGACTACACAGGAAAGCATGGAGTAAGAGTGAAAGATATACAGAAGTAAGAAAAGAAAAAAAGGCCAGAGGCAAAAAAGGCAGTTGGGATAATAAAAGCTGGCTAGAAAATAAGTCAAGCTAAGGTTAGTCATTTATAAGTAATAATAAGCCTCCGTGTGTGATTTATTTGGGATCTGGGTGGCAAAACCACCCTCCCCTCCCCCACCACCAGAGAGCCAAAAGAGTAAAGAGCAAAGAATAAGAAACAAATAAATACATGCCAGGTGTTGGTGGTGTACGCCTTTAGTCCCAGCATTCAGGAGGCAGAGGCAGGCCGATCTCTGTGAGTTCTAGGCCAGCCTGGTCGACAGAGTGAGTTCCAGGACAGCCTCCAAAACAATACAGAGAAACCCTGTCTCGAAAAACCAAAACCAAACAAAAACCAAATACACTGGTTTACAGGAAAAAAACAAACACATCAAGAGCAGGGTGGTGGTATCGCACGCCTTTAATGCTTTTAATCCCAGTGCTCAGGAAGCAGAGTCAGATGGATCTCTGTGAGTTCGAGGTCAGCCTGGTCTACAGAGTGAGTTCCAGGACAGCCTCCAAAGCTACAGAGAAATGAATAAATAAATAAAAAACCACATCAGGAGAAGCAGAGAATTAAAAGGCTTATAGGGTTTCAATATGTAGCATTTCCAGAAGAAATGTAAATGAGACTGACCTGACTTGGGTGTCATTATCTCAACAAGCAGTCCCTTCTATTGTTAGATCCTAGATAACAGCAGAAACTCCATTTTGTCCCAGTCTGTCATTCTGCCCTGAGCTGCTACCTGGTGCTAGGATTTCAATGCAATGGTAATACTAATATATCTAGTATTTATCTTTGGTAAATCATAATTCATGTAATCTTCAAGGAATAAGACTTGGATCATCTGTCCCAGGTCAAACATAAAAACTTGCAAATTAGCCAGGTGGTGGTGCTGCCCAGCACTCTTGAGGCAGAGGCAGGTGGATTTCTGTGAGTTCAAGGCCAGCCTGTTCTACAAAGCAAATGCCACGATACACAGAGAAACCCTGTCTCGAAAAAACCAAACAAACAAGAAAAAACTTTCAGATTTAATAGTTTTCTTTAAGTTCCTGAATTGTAACCTCTGTCTCTAGTCTACATCTCAGCAAGTTTTTCAGTTGGCTGATGAATACACTATCCAGGGAGCACCTGCCAACCATAAGTTGCTGAGCTTTGGATTTGCTGTAAACAGATGTGAACCAGTCCACCTGATAGAATTGCTCCCAATTGCTTCACCTGGATCAGTCAATCTGATGCTTTAGATAAATGTCCATTGTTCAGCCTTTGTTAAGGAGAACATCAAACCATACCAAACAACAACAACAACAAAAAACACCAAAAAAAAAAGAAAACACAAACACTAGGGTCAACCCAGGAGAAAGAACATGGAGACATAGTTTTAGTGGGAATCCAACTTACTGCAGCCACAAGGCAATTTAGCACACAGCTTCTAGAAAAACCAGAGGGGGGGAAACATGGGGTGCATGATTTTTTTTTTTTTGAGACAGAGTTTCTCTGTATTGTTTTCGAGACTGTCCTGGAACTAGCTCTTGTAGATCAGGCTAGTCTGGAATTCACAGAGATCCACCTGCCTCTGCCTCCTGAGTGCTGGGACTAAAGGCATGTGCCACCAATGCCCGGCTTAGGGGTGCATGATTTTTATAGGGCACTCAGGAAGCAGAGGCAGGCATGTGAGTGTGTGTGTGTGTGTGTGTGTGTGTGTGTGTGTGTGTGTGTGTGTGTGTAAATTTGTTTCTATTGGAGTTTAGGATATGGGATGGATCAGGCATAATGATAGTGGCAATCACCTTTAATCCCAGCACTCAGGAGGCAGAGGATGGGTGAGTTCCAGAATAGCCAGAGCTACAGTAAGGCCCTGTCTCAAGAAACTAAAATCAAAAAAAAAAAAAAAAAAAAAACCTGAAATGATAAATGTCATCTTGGTATATGCCCCTCCCTGGCTATGTTTAAAAGTTCTAAGTTTGATGCATGATAGTAAACAATAGTGACAATCCCCTTAAGCAATAATTCTCAACTTCAGTTGGGTGCTGGTGACACACGCCTTTAATTTCAGCACTTGGGAGGCAGATGCAGGTGGATCTCTGTGAGTTCAAGTGAGGCCAGCCAGATCTACAGAGCGAGGTCCAGGACAACCTCCAAAGCAATACACAGAAACCCTGCCTCGAAACAACCCCCCACAATAAAATGTATAAATGCAAGTAAACCCACAGGACTTGGATAATGAGGTTCTGAAAATTGAGAAATGGTCTTTTTTTTTTTTTTTTTTTTTTTTTTTTGCTCAACTTGGAGCAAAAATAAGGGTGATCTTATTATGTGTCAGGTGTTCAGCACTGAACTAAAGCCACACAATTTTGGTGTATGGGATTGACGTTTCAATTATGAGTTGAGAGGTCTGAAAAATCCCAGTGCTCGGGCTGTTCCCCATAGTAATTCAAATGGACTCCCAGGTGCTGAGATCCAGACATTAGGAGATTTAAAAGTCTCTAGGTGACTTCGTTGTTTTGTTTTGAGATAGGGTTTCTCTGTGTAGGCCTTGCTATCCTAGAACTAGCAGAGGTCCACCTGCT